TATTTTAAGGTTAACCGAACGCCACCTCTCATTCATTTTTTTTACGTAACAACGATACCAATTTATCGTACTCCATAGTAAGCAGCAATTTAACATGACATTTTGGAGGTGAGCTATACCTCACAGAGTTATTCTCCAACACAACCTCACCCCCAATATAGTGAAACCCTTATTTTTGCCATTTCAGACATTGTAAAAAAATGATTGATAAGAAGAAGAGAGAAGTATGAACGTAAGTTTGAAATAAAATATTGAATGAATTTTCATAAAATTAATACGCCTTTAAATAAGGCAAGTCCGGCGTTGGGGTGTAGAATTTTTCTATGTAAAACGCAGTACAATATTACATTTTATGTATTGAATTATTGTTATGTCAGTTTATTATTGGTGGGGCCAAAAGCCAGAGTAAAACGCAGTATAATAATACGTTTCAGTGTAAAACACAGTATTATACTGCATTTTATAAATTTTCTTAGTAAAACGCAGTATAGTACTGCGAATTACAAAAAAAAAATAAAAGTAAAATGCAGTATAGTACGCGTTTTACTTTAACGGCTAAATTTCTGTTGAAGTAATTCGCAGTATAATACTACATTTTACTCATTTATATAACTTTTTTTTTTGTAAGTAGTAGAAAAGTATTTCTTTTCTAAAAAATCATCAAAAAAGTTTCGACTCAGGTTAGAGCACACCGATTTTTGAGAACTTGTACTTGTTTGGATTACTTAACTGCCTGCTGGACTGGAGGCTCCCCATAGAGTGACACGTGCTGACGTGTATCATGGCAAATTGAATAAGTAATCACGCAAATAAAATAGTACTATAAGAAATGTCACACAAAGATACACACGGATTGGCTAGTTTAATGAAAACCCACTTACGCCCAAACCATGGGAAAGGATCTTGAAAATGAAACCACATATATGTTGGAGTGACATGCTTTCCAATGTCACACGGTTGAACATATATAATGCAATTGTACTCCCCTTCTATCATTTTATTTATCGGTTAGAATTTTAATACACTTATTTTAAAATAGTACTTATTTTATAACAGTGTTATATAAATTATAGAATTTATTTGATTAAATTATCATTTATCGTCCCATCGTATGTTTTAAAAATTGTTTGGATCATCTATTGAAATAAATGTAAATTTAGATACAAATTAGTGTCTTCTTTGTTTTCTAAAGCAGCACTTTTGCTTTTAAATAATTTTGATTTGGCTAGAACGAGACTAATTGTTGCCATTTTGGACCGGAGGAAGTATATACAGAACTTATCTTGTTTCTAGAGCTCTTAAAATGGAAGTTTATGTCAGCACATGGCATGTCTATGTGGAAGAAGAACAAAGTTCATTGAGTCATTAGAGAGGCATTATCATAATTGAAACAGTAAATTTTTATACTAAGGTGAGTAATTTTTTGCCGTAAAAAGGCAAGGTGATGTTGCATTATTCAATGATTGAAGATTAAAAAACAAAATATGGATATACTTTGACATTGCCATGAAGTAAAATATGGATAGATCTTTTATATATTGGGCTACGGCTGGAGATGTGTGTTTGGTAAAAATAACACGGGCTAGTTAGTTTTTGGACCGATCATTCAAAAATAGCCAGCATTTATAAAGTCAATAAAAAATAGCCATTATTTTGCTTTAACATGGAAAGTTTCAGCATAATATATTGGAGATCAGTGTACCTGTGTATGAATTTCCAGCATATTATGCTGGAACTCCAACACGCAGAAAGCTCCAATCTCCCTTATTTTATGCTGGACCGGTATATTCTACTAGAACTCCAGTATATATACTGGAATTCCAGTACATTATGCTAGAGTAATTTTCTATATTTTGAACAGTGTTTATGTTCAGATTCATCTTCACATGAAAAATGACTAAATTTTAATTACTTTTGAAACTTTAGCTATTTTTGAATGACCACTTTTTAAATATAACTATTTTTTAATTTCTCCCGTGTGCTTGATACGTACATGTACACTAGTTGGACCTGCCATAGTCATGGGCTATGATATAAATCTCCATTTTCAACTTTTTATTTGTTCTCTCTACTATTGTAATCAAACTTAGCTGTATTTGTCAATTTTCTCTATTTGATTTACTATATCTTTTATGATGTTATGCAGTATTGATCTCACATCAAGAACAGAGATGCCATCAGAGACGACCTCTCCATTTAGAAGACTCCACATGCTGAATGAACATTGATTCGTTATGTCATGTGTTTCAGAATCAGATCATAAAAATAACATTTAATATTATTTGCAAGCATGTTGAAGTGAAGCAATAGAGTAACTTATTTGTGCGGAGGCGGAACCAAGATTTGAAGTTTTGGATTCGAGGTTCTAATCCTTTCTCGTTATTGGGTTCTAAATTAATAATTTATATATATTCAATAGATTTTTTAAGGCAAATACATGAATTGGACCAAAGCAACTGAATTCGGTCGAACCCGTACTCAGCGGGCTAGCTCCGCCCCTGGATTTGTGAAACCATCCGTTTATCAACGTATCAACAGAATTCTATAGTTTTACTTATAAATCATCCATAAAATTCTATTTACAATCATAGCCCTACATTTTTGTTATGTTTCTAACAATTATGTTTCTGGGAAAAAAAAGATTAGTTAGGACCCCAACAGCTCAAGTACATAACTTTCCTCAAAGATTCTTCAGATTGTTTTGCCTTGTCGCTCCTTGCAATCAGGGAGGAGGAAGAAGAAGTAGAAAGCTTCTTAGCTTGAGAGTAAGATCTCATATTATTCTTTGTGCGTTGAGCGAAGAACCTCAAAGGGTAATTCCATCTACAGAAACCTTGATCTTTTAAAGCTTCCACTACTCCAACACTCGCTGCTACTATCCACGCTTTCTTGCTTGAACTCATGGTTTTCTTCTTAAATTAATATAATCGAACCTCTATATTTGCTCTTTCGTTTTTAATAGATGAATCCTGCTTTTGCTTCTCTGATCCTTTTGATGCTAGTTGATTTAATGTTTTGAAGATGATGCCAGGAGTTTGAAGCTAAGGCTGAATTTATAGGCAAAAAAAAGAACTGAAGTTTGTTGAGAGAAAAGTACCCTTTGGACTAGCTAAAGGAGATAAACCAGTGGCTGTTTGGAGAACTGTGTGCTCTTTACAGTTGCAGCAAGTGGTTTTCTAGTTATTTTATATTATTCTTGAAAACAGAGGACAACATTTATGTACTGATTTATTCAATTTTTATAAGAGGACAAGGGGTTGGACACAATCCCTCACGGGGGTTAGGTTCTAATACTTAAATAAGTTATGGAGGAATTATTAATACAGCGATAGTAACGTATGAATGTTAAGCAGCCATGGGAAGTAGGGGTGTTCATAAAAATCCGAAAATCCGAACCAAACCGAACACCAAATTAAATCGACCAAAAAAATTAATACTTTTTGGTTTGGTTTGGTTTTGATTTTGAAATTTAAAAACCAATTAAATTTGGTTTGGTTTTGATTTTAATTAAAAAAAATCGAACCAAACTGGATATAGGAGTAGCTATTTTAAAATTATTATTACACCTATATATATGCATATTTTTATACAAAGTTTTAAAAAATTTATAGTAAATATTAATCGTTTGCACTTTTAGTACAATTCTTTACCTTTATATTCTAGTTTAATTGATAGTTTTCTTTTGTTAAGTGTAAGAATCTATTTCATGTTAAAAATAATAAACTTTTAATTGAGTCCTTAAATTATTCATCACTATTTGATTCAATTATCATCAATATATCTTGGTAAATAATAGATTTCTCAAAGAGCAATTGATTTGATAGTGTTACATTGAAAATGTGGTCGCCGAAATGTGTGTTTGGTAGTGTATGTCTTATATTTTTAAAAAAACCGACAAATAACCGAAAAAATCGAAAAACCGACATAAACCGAATCGAGAAAAAATCGACTTAATTGGTTTGGTTTGGTTCTAATATTTGAAAAAACGACTTAGTTGATTTGATTTCTTTTTAGAGAAAAACTGATCCAAACCGAACCATGAACACCCCTAATGGGAAGGATGATTGAAGCTACTATGAAGAAGAAGAATCTGAGAGAAAAAGAGAACAGACTCACTTCATTTTCAAAAATTATGTTTTGTATAATATGCTACAGTATTTAACTACCTAACTAACTTTACCCTTAACCGATTTTAACTAGCTCCCTAATTAACTAACTCTAGTTAACATTAAACTTAAGCTTAACTACAATTAACTATCAGCTTGTCACTTAGCTGCTAGCTAACACCCCCCCCCCCCCNAGAAGAAGATGATGAGAGGAAAATGAGAGAAGAAGAGAACCTACTCACTTTATTTCCAAAACAATCTAAGTTCTGTACAATATTTTACAGTATTTAACCACCTAACTAACTAACTCTAGTTAACTTTACACTTAAGTTTAACCACAGTTAACTATCAGCTTGTTACATAGCTGCTAACCAATACTGCACCTCAAGTTGATGATTCAAATAAGTTCTTCAATCCAATTTTGTTCAGCAAGTATTCATGTTGAGATTTTCCCAAACCCTTTGTGAGCAAGTCTGCTAGTTGATCTTTTGTATTCACATGCTTAGTTTTCAACAGTCCTTGACTTAGTTTTTTCCTCACAAAATGATAGTCTATGTCAATATGTTTTGTTCTCTCATGAAATATTGGATTTGCAGCTATTTGGATTGCTGTTTTGCTATCACATATCAGAGTTATTGGCAGCCCAATCGTGACACCTAGTTCACTGAACAGACCTGTTAACCATATAACTTCTGCTGCACACAATGCCATACTTCTAAATTCTGCTTCTGCTAAACTTCTAGAGACAGTACTTTGCTTCTTAGACTTTCAGGATATCAGTGCATTGCCAAACTTAACTAAATACCCTATATCTGACCACCTTGTCTGTATGCATGCCCCCCAGTCTAAATCACAATAAGTAGTCAGTTTACTTGATGATTATGCAGGCATCAGCAGTCCTAGACCTGATGCCTCCTTTATATACCTTACCACTCTCAGTGCTGCTTCCATGTGAGAAATCTTAAGACAATTCATGAACTGGCTAAGGACCTGAACTACAAAGGTAATGTCTGGTCTGGTCATAGTGATATATAGCAATCTTCCTGCCAATCTTTAGTAAGCACCAGGATTCTTGAGAGCTTCATCTGAGTGAGCACTATTGGTATTGAAGTAGCTGTCAAATTCTATGGATGTTAACTTCTGGTTCAGCTCTAATGATGTTCCAGCTGACTTTGTACCACTTAAACCTAACTCAGATATTAACTCTAGTGCATATTTTCTTTGACACATGAGAATTCCTTGGTTAGACCTTGCAAACTCAATGCCTAGGAAGAATTTTAGCTATCCTAAATCCTTCATCTTGAACCTTTTCTTGAGATCTGTTCTAGTATCACACAACAACTGTTGGTTGTTCCCAGTGATCAAAAGATCATCTACATACATCAGTATGACCACTATGTCATTCCCAGCTTTCTTTGTGAACAATGAATAATCATAATGGCTTTGCTGAAATCCCATATGAAGTAGAGCTTCAATTAACTTCATATTCCATTGCCTTGAGGCCTGTTTAAGTCCATAGAGAGATTTATGGAGTTTGCAGACCTTCTTGTGAGTCTCCCCCTGTCTAGCAAACCCCTTAGGTATATGCATATAAACCTCTTCAATAAGATCTCCATTAAGTAAAGCATTATGAATATCCATCTGAAAGATTAACCACTGTTTATAAGCAACTAATGCAATAATGGATCTGACATTAACTATCTTAGCCACAAGAGAAAAAGTTTCACCATAATCCAAACCTTTCTTTTGACTGTACCCCTTAGCAACCAATTTAGCGTTGAATATTTCTATCTCCCTAGATGTTTTATATTTGATTTTATACACCTATGTACAACCAATAGGTGTCTTTCTAGGTGGAAGATCTACAATTCTCCAAGTATGATTATCCTTCAGTGCATCAATCTCCAACTACATAGTTTTCACCCATCTAGGATCAATAACAGCTTTTTTAAAAGTAGTTGGTTTTGAGAGAGACAAGTAGGTTGTGAGAGCTTGTCTAAAGGTTGGAGAGATGTGAGAATAGTCTACATAAGAGGAGATGGGATAAGTACATTTTGAGCCTTTGGAGAGGGTGACATAATCCTGCAACCATACATGTGGCTTACTTGGTCTGGAGGATCTCTTGCATCCTTCAAGATGTTCAACAGAATGTGATTGACTTTTAGATGTTTCAGCACAAGTATCATCCTGATAATTAGTCACAGTAGGAGGGATAGGTTCAGAAGTAGTTCTATTTGCGGGGAAGAAAGGAATTTTGTCAGAGGATTCTGATGACATCTAGTCTGCAGCAGGCTCAGTTGAGTCTTCTACTGTAGGTGTTGAAGAGGAGATGAGAGTTGTAGCATCTAACTCAGGGGATAACAGATCCATAATAGGGAAAATCATAGTTCCTGAGTCTCTAACATGCTTGAAAGGAAATAAAATTTCATGGAACATAACATTTCTATTAACCATAAAGTCTTTGGAATGTAGGTTATACAGTATATACCCCTTTTGAGTAGAGGAATAACCTAAGAGCACAGTAGGCACTGCTCTAGGTGAAAATTTGTCCAAAACTTTAGGAGTTGTAGAATAACACAAGCAGCCACATACATTGAGATGAGACAAAGAAGGTGGATGCAAATACAACTTCTCAAAAGGAGATTTGTACCCAATTACCTTAGAGGGTATCTATTGAGTAAATATACTGCTGTACTAACACATTCTCCCCAAAATCTTGAAGGCACAGTTGCTTGAAATATGAGGGACCTAGCCATCTCCAAAATAGTTCTATGTTTTCTTTCTGCCACCCCATTCTGTTTGGGTGTGTAAACACATGTACTCTGATGTACAATACCAAGGCTGGACAGCAACTACTTAAACTCAATACTAAAAAATTTATTTCCATTATCAGTCCTTAGAGTTTTAACAGTAGTAGAAAACACATTAGTTGCTTGAGTAAGAAAATCTCTTAGAACTAAAATTTCTTCTGACTTACAATTCAAGAGGAAGATCCAAGTAAATATGCTATAATCATCAGCTATGGTGACAAAGTATCTTTTACGATCATGTTAGGTACTCTATATAGTCCCCAAATATCATAGTGAACTAGTTCAGAAGCAGATTTAGTTGTAGTATTACTAAACTGAAATTGCATCTTGGTTTGTTTAGCAATATGACATACAGTGCAGGGCTGATTGAAGTTACCTGTTGTCAGCTTACTTGTAACGACCTGACCGGTCGTTTTGAGGTTTTGCATTTTGCTTGCCAATTCTTGGGTATGACTAGCCCCGTGTGTTATATTATAACTTATGTAAATCGTTGGTTTTAGTTTTCAGGATAATCAGAATAGATTTGGAAGAGCAATTCTCAGTTTGAAGCTTTAAATGTGAAAGGTTTGACCAAGTTTTGACTTTTTAGTATTCAATCTCGGATTTGGATTTTTATGATTTAGTTAGCTCCGTTAGGTGATTTTGGACTTGGGAGCGCATCCGGAATGTATTTTGGAGCTCCGTGGTAGATTTAGGCTTGAATTGGCGAAATTAGAAATTTGGCATCTTCCGGTCGGTAGTGGAAAAATTGATATCGGGGTTGGAATGAAATTTCGGAAATTGGAGTAGGTCCGTTATGTCATTTGTGACGTGTGTGCAAAATTTCAGGTCATTCAGACGAGGTTTGATAGACTTTTTGATCGAATTCGGAATTCGGAAGTTTGGAATTCTTATGCTTGAATCCGAGGGTGATTCGATGTTGTTCTGAGCATTCCGAAGGTTGGAGAAAGTTTAAATGATGTTATGGGATGTGTTGGCATATTTGGTTGAGGTTTCGAGGGCCTCGGGTGAGTTTCGGGGTGGTTTCGGACCATTTTTAGGCCATTTCTAGTTGATGATTTTTAGCTTCAGGGGTGTACAATGCGTTAGCATAGATCTGACCGTGTTAGCATATAGAAAATTTAGAAAAAATGGAGTTGTACTATGCGATCGCGTAAGTCTTCCCGTGATGGCATAGAGTAAAATCTCTATTGCACTAACCCGACTTTGGATGCTTATATCTTACAATCTGT